TGCCTTTATGCCATTAACCTGAAATACATAAATGGAATATATATTGTGTGCTCGCAAGTCAAATCTACCCCCCTTAAAGCATTAAGTTCGAAGTAAACTCAAACTTAAATTGGTTAGTAATCCTTAGGGTTTGTCCTATAGTCCAAACATATTCTCTGATACCAGTCCTGTCGGGTCCCAAAACTAATAACTTGGATCCGACTGAGATTAATGTATCAATCCCTGGATCAGTAAATATTGATACATGTAATACAACTGGTTCTTCATTGCATACGTTAAAGTTTACAATACTAGGGTTTTTACAAGGGTAGGTACTCACCTAATTAAACATAGGTGCTAATAATACACAGCGGCTGTTCTAGTACATTCTGACTAGGGAGGTATAACCTCTAGGGATTTTCTAAGTTATCAAAGTCATCATAATAATAATCATAGGGGTCCTCTTGACCCAAATCTGAAAAAGGGTTAATAAGAGCAGGGTGAGTATTCACAATACTCAGCAAGTTACCATGGAAATATGTTATGCGTTGGCATGGAGTGGAGTTCTTTGCAGAAAGCAATAATAGACAATCTGGAAATATTAAAGCAAGAGTTTGTAAAAATATATACTTTAGGTTTCTAACCAGGGTACCATATGAGTCCCGGTACTCAAATCCGTGAGCACGGCTATTCGAATAGTTTCAATGATATTCTACTGCAGCAGATGTACGCTTTACCCGCAGTCCACGACTTGCTGATAATCATCAGCTTTAGCCATGGCCCAGTATTAGGTTATTAACAATTGTGGCACCTGTTCCATGAACTTATATCCTCATATGCTCTGAACGTAATGTTAACAGCAGCAAGAGGATTTCTGGCGTTCCCGAGGTATTTAAGGGGAACTGATCGTATGACACCACGTCATATCGATCAGGGTTTAGAAATATACCATATAATTTATACTCGAGTATCACAAACCATTTACCTGTACATGGTAACGGTTAAAAGTTGCCCTTCGCAGCTATAGTTGCCTCCTACGCGAGGACTTAAAAATAAGAACCACTATACAGAGGTACCACATTGCTAATTAACATAATAACTAGGTCTGTCCCCATTCTAGAGACTGCGGTCGTACCCGTTCGTTCGACATAAGTACCTGGTAAAAACTATATCGATCGAGACAGTACTAGCCACCCGGAAATCATCCAATTCTAACGTACTGTCCCAATCTAAGTATAAAATATTTTAACCAGATTGTAAGCAAGATAAGCAATACTAAATTATCTGGGTTTCTATGGTTGAATTATGCATATAAAATAGAGTATTGAATAGAAGGCTATAAATAAATAATTTGTAAAATATAGGCTTAAATGATCAAAAGGTAGATAGTAACTTGCCTTGCTTGATGTCCTGAGATTGATTGAGATTATCTAATAGGTTAGGAGACTCCTAAAGACCTAGGGTTAAGCATGTAAAATTCAAATTCAAAAGGAATTCGAATAAAATCCAAAAATAGGAAAAATAGAGAAAATAAAATAAAATGCAAAAATAGCAAAAAGGGGCTCAAAAGATAGAGAAAGATTTTAGAAGAATTTTGGTCCAAGTTTCACTGGAATTGGGTTTATATTTTAAAAGATATGGGCTTCTAAAGTTTGGATTTTGAATTAAATGGAGAAATTAGAAAGGTTATTACGGAACAGGGGCCCACCCGTCAGTATTTTATCTTTTTCTTCTTTTCTCCTTCTTCCTTCCTTCCTTTCTTCTGTTTCTTTTTCCCGTGTCAACACAAAGAGAGAGGGAGAGAGGGCGACGGCTTTCCGGCGACCGGAAGGTGGTGACGCCGGCGGTGGGTGGTGTTCCCGAGCACCACGCACCTGGGGAGGGCGGTTTCTTGCGGAGAGGGAGAGGGAGGAGACCGGAACGCCGGCGGCAAGAGCTTGGCTCAGCCGATTGGGAGCTGGCGGTGGTAGCTTAACTCAAGGTGGAAGGGATGGGGGAATGGGGTGAAATGGGTTCTCCTCGTCGAGGCAAACGTGATGGAGCAAGGGCTTGGCCGACGGGGCAACGGTGAGGGAGATCGGCCGGTGACTTGGTGGTAGCCGGCCATGGTGGAGAGAGAGAAAAGCTCGAAGAGCTTAGTTGTGGGGAGGGATGGCGAGCATGCCGACTATTTATAGGCGGAGGAGGTCGGTTCGCAAAGGAGGGAGAAGGGAAACACGGCGCCGGTGGAGTGGAGCGGAAGAAAGCGGCGCCGGCTTCATTCGGTGATTGGCTAGGCATGTCGGTTTGGAGGAGAGAGAAGGGGAGCACGGTGGCAGTGGCGTGGAGAGGAGGATTACGGCGCCGGCTCTCCTTTCTTAGCGGCGACGGAAGCGAGTTGGCGGCGGCGTGCAGAAGAACACGGCACGACAAAAGTGGCGGCGCAAGCCGTGGGTGGTGCGCTCCTGTGGCGCACGGCAACGACGGCTGGGCCGCGTGTGTGACGTCACACGCGCCCACAAAGAAGAGAAAAGAGGCGGCTGCCTCTTGGGCCGGCTGGGCCAAGGGAAGGGGCTAAGTTGAAGATTTTCGGCCCAAAGGAATTTTGAATATTTTGCCTAAGGAGAAAGAATTTATCTAGAGATCTTTGGAAGAGTTTTGCAAAGATTATGCACTATAACAATGTCTCACTAATAGAAGGGTAATCTAGAGAAAGTTTCTAAGTTTTGGAACTTGAAGAAAATTTGCTAAATTCACTAAGGTTTAGGATAGGGTAACAATTTATGGTTTATTGGTAAACTAGGTTAAGGGAATTCTAGGGGTAATACTTGAACCAAAATCAAGAATAAAAAGAGAACTTTTAAAAAGAAATTTTGATTTTACTAATCTAAGATTAAAACCAGCATGATGCAGTCAAATTTTAGTTTAAAATTTGAGGATGTTACTAGAACTCAACCTAAATATTGATAAGCATTGAAGATAGAATCAATGAATGTATTTCAGGAGCTTGGATCGAACACTTGCATAATAGTACATGAAGAAGTACTAGGTTCCGAACCAACATAGAAAGAATAAAGCAGAAAAGAATCGAAGAAGCAAACTCGTTCGTTTTGAATTTGAGTTTAATTTTGAAATATTTGGCTGAACCCAAATCATGCTCACACTTGCAGCTAAAAGCAAGCGATAGATGGAAGTCTACTACATCAGTCCAACCGCACTTAGAAATGTTCATGGTGCATAGCTTTGGTTAGTCAATTATCGCCAAAATGGGACGGAATTCCCAAACACAAGTGTGCCATAGCAGCACACAAAAACTTGGCTAATTGAACTAAACCGAACTAAACATCGTTGAACTATTCAGAGCCTCGGCATGGTTTTGAGATATGGTTACCCGCGACAGCAATCGCGATTTGGAAACTATCTCAACCCCACCATTTATGAAACTTAAGCAACATATGTCGCACATATGCAAATGAGTTACGTGAGAAGCATACTCACTAAGCACATGAACCCCAAGCTTTTCTATGTGCATGAATTACATAGGAGCTACGAACTAAGTCATATGGAAGTCTTGCAGATTTGTCCACTAACTCATTATTGACATCTTCTCTTGAATAGGTCTGTCCGAGAAATCGGAATAATGAGACTTAGATAAATGCAAAATTCAGGGGGAGAATTTCGCTGACTCATTCTATAATCTTGATATAAAAAATCAAGTACCCAAAATCAATCTAGAAAGATTGAACAGAGAATTGGGTGGATTGTACTCTTTTTCCCTTGGATAAGTTTTCCTAGCAGTTTCTTATCAAGGTTTTTAACGAGGCAATTCATGCGACATTGCAAGCGTATGCTATGTACTCTTTCTCCAAATTTTTCCCACTGGGTTTTTATGGAGTTTTGATGAGGCATAGGCATCACGCAGTGAGAGCCCAAGGGGGAGTGTTAAGAAACCGCCAGCCCACGAAGGCCCGGCCCGGTTACCCACTAATTGGGCCCATCACTAAACATGGAAGGTGGAAAAGGGAATGGCTATAAATAGAGGAGTATAGAGGAGGATTGTACACTTGAGAATGCAATGGATGAATGAGAAAGGATGCCACACCCTCATATCTTGTGTCTCCACTTTTTGTAGAATTACGGGACCCTCTTGGACTACTTCGTGTAGCAGGAGGGTTGCGTAATAGTAACGTACACGTCATGTCTTACTTTTTTAATCCGTTTGCATCATGGCGTTCGTAAAAAAAGTTCTAAACGAAACTAGAACCATCATAACTATTTTTTAACGTCGTTACTGCGGAAAGCAGTTGTGGTACTATACACTGGCTGTCACGTTACTACGCTGTTTCAGTAAGACGAGGACTAAAAAGAGGTAAATCTCAATCTTTAGAGAGCAATATCTCTCACATCATACCTTGTATTTCCAATACGTTTGCACCATGTTCATAAAAAAACGCTTAACGAAACAAGATCCATCATGGCTACTTTTTGACGTTGTTACTGCGATAATGTTGTCTTGGTACTGCACGATGACCGTCCTGTTACTGCACGATTCCTGCAAGACGAGAGCAGCAAAGTAGTGGACGGGGGAGGGAGTGGTGGGCGGGTTTGACCGGCGGGAGGACACTTTGACCGAGGTGGGAGGGGGGTTTTGGGCCCTAGGGAGGGTGGGGGAGGTGGGTTTGACCCATGGGAGGAGGGTGTAGAATAGATTCACTATATCTATAACTAATATAAATATTTGGATTTTTCCGGTCGTCACCTCGTGCATGCGGTGATTTTTCGTCCCGTCACACCCCGCCCCCCAAATCCTAGTCGGAATTCCATATCACACAAATAGAATCCCACATTCTCTCCAAAATCTCAAACCATCACAATCCAAATCAAAAACAAAAACAAAAACAGAAGGGCGGATACCAAGTTCAACACGAAAGACATAGCGGATTCGATTTGGACTCAAGAACGGATGAAATCAACCCCATAAATACAACTAGGATTCCACAAGATTGCTACGGAGCAATTGGTGAGATGAGATGAGATCCAACCTGATTTCGGGGGATGGCTTTGACTTGCGGTGTCAAGCTCCAAGTGGCAGTGCACGGCCTCGGCAAGCGGCGGAAGCTTGGCGGCGGCCCTCACCGGCAAGGCGCTTGGGTGTCCGGGTGTTGAGGGAGCCAGGAAATCGACGAAGGCGACAAACCATGAGGCAATTCCTCGCAGCGGCGGCTCCCACGAGCGGCGATGTCGAGGAAGTAGGCGACGGCGGTAACTTCGGGAGGCGGGATGAAGTATGCTTGGAAGTCGGCTAGAACTAAGACGCCGGATACACGCCCTTGAGCCTCCCTCACCACCAGATCCGCCGCCCACCAGCCTCGCCACCGCCCGCCCACCTCCCCCGCCGCCCACCATCCTCGCCACAGCCTGCGCGCCTCCCAACACCGAATCCACTGCCCACCAGCCCCACCGTCGCCCTCGAGCCTCCCCACCGCCGGATCCGCCGCCCACACGCCTACCACTGCTCACCAGTATCGTGGCCGCCTGCACGCCTTGGCCGTCGCAGCTGTCGCGGGGCTGTCACCGCCATGGCCACCTTCGCCAACGCCATCGCGGCCACTGCCGCCTTGGCCATTGCCTCCATGGCCGCCGTAAGAAGGCTGAGGTTGAGTTGGCGGCGACGCTGATGGAGGATGCAGTCGACTCAGGGAGGTGGCCCAGGGCGGAGGCCAAGGTGGAGTTGGGGGCAGCACGTCGGACGTCGTGGTTGAGGCAGGGAGGTGGCACGAGTGGAGGGTGAGGTTGAGGGGGAGGCGCCGGTGAGGTTGAGGGGGAGGCGCCGATGGCCGAGAGGGAGAAGGCTACGATGAGAAGGGAGGGGTGGAGGGTGAGGTTGAGGGGGAGGCGCCGATGGCCGAGAGGGAGAAGGCTACGATGAGAAAGGAGAGGAAACGAGGACAGGAAAGAGGAGAGGAAAGGGGATCGACCTGATCCCGATCTAAACGGGATGGGATCTCGATCGGGTTGACTAGGAAAAAAACATATCATTATTGATTTTTTTACTAGGAAAAAAACTGACCGGTATTTTTAAAAAACATGGAAACAGAATACAGTGTGTGTTTTACTGGGAAAAGAAAATTCGACTGGTAATTTTTAAAAAACATGGAAACTGAATATGTGCATGGTGTGAAACTTCACACAATATCTCCGTTCCTTTTATCTCGATTTTTGTCACCACGCTTTTCAAACTTTCTATAGAAAATTTGTTTTGAAATATCTAATAAATCTATTTTTAAGTTTACTAGCAAAATGCTCGTGCTTCGCTACGGTGTATTAAGACTAAAATTATTTGTTTTTAACCAAAGTTATTTTCACACTGCTTTGGTACTTTTGCTCGCTAGAAAAAAGTCTCAAATGATAGAGAGAAATATAGTAGCTCATAATAAATTATACTCTCTACTAGGCTACTACTATAAAAATTGAAGATGTTTTTACCGGTATTTTGGTACATCATCCGTGTATGAGTCGGTTTTATATTCGTTCGCTTTGGAAATATATATCCGTATTTGAATCGGTTTTTAAGTTTGTTCGATTTTGGAAATACATATCCGTATAAGAAACACATTTAGCGAATCAGCGAGCAACCTCAGGCCAATCGACGGATGATTGATGACTGTCCGCTGCCTCTCTTCTTCCTCCGGCGGCGGTGGCAGCGTCAGCGGCGGGCGCGGATGGATCCGGCAGCGGTGGTGACGGCCGAGGGCGGATCCGGCGGCAGGGGAGTCAAGTGTTGTGAATTATGTATGTTGTTGTTTCATTGATGTAGACATCGTTCTTTGATTTTGATCTAGTTTTTTTGCTCAACTTTTTTTTCTGGAACCGAGTTGGACACAACAAACAAATCGCATAATAGAAATCGGCTGCGGTGGGAAAAACGGAAAAACATGGAGTGAAAAGGATGCGATGACGGAAAAAAAAGAGGTTACGGACGAAAAAACACGTGGGGTGAAAAGATGTGACGATTAGAAAAATACGAATCTTTTAGTTAGTTAAGATAATAATTAAAAGTTAACTAATTATGCGCTAAAGACTTATACTCAGAGAGGTTTTCTAGAAAAGAAAAAAAAAAGGAACGGTTAGGTCCGGTGGCACTATTTAGATTTAGTCGGTCAGGGCATTACATTGCGAATATAAAAATATAATTTAAAATAATTAATGTCCTCATAATATTTCATCATCGTCTTCTATGCAAAGGTGTGTTATTCAAGCCATCCATTTCTCCAATGCTACAATCATCGTCACCATTGGTCAGGACAATCATTCATATCCTACATGTGTAGAATAGACTAAATGTCCAAACACAAATATTTCTTTGTGATAACTGTGCGCATCGCTGGTTCTTATGATCATACATGTACTTTGATAAAATCATTGAGATAAAACCTTATCCATCTCGCAATCTGATCATACTTACATTCTTTGATGTATTATTGAGGTCAAACTTTATCCACCTTGTCATTAACCTGTGCAATGCACGGGCATTTTGCTAGTGTGTATGTCTCTCTCTATATATATATATATATATAACAAACAAACAAAAGTAATGTCATGGTCGGGATAACGTATCAACGCAGAAGCTGCACAGGGCAGCAGGATGCAGCGTCAGGAGATGCAGCGCAGCGCGCGTAATCCGCCGTGCCGGACGACAACAGTATTGCGATAGGATAGGTTCTGTTAGCCAGTTTTCTTATCAGTTTGTTAGCTTGTTTTTAGTAATTTGGTTAATCAGTTGTAAGCCTATTTAGAGGCACAATTCGGAGAAGTTAATCAAGCAGATTCAATTTCTAATTCTCTCATCTCCTATTCTCTATTTGTTCATCCCTTGCTGTTCATCACGGGTCGCCGTTCCTCCAAACTCCCTCGTCCACGTCCGCCAATCACACATTCATATCCCATACGTTCTTATGCCGGAGCTCGTGACAACTTGGTATCAGAGCTCATGGCAACGGACGAATCCTCCACCAACGTAGCCACCGCCACAGCCGCAGCTACGGCCGCAGCTCCGGTCTCCAATGCCGACATCGCCAAGCTCCGTGAGTCCATGGCCGACATACTCCATGGCATGTCGCTCCTCGCATCCAAAAGTGACTTGGCGGATCTCAGCCATTCGGTTGCCGTCGCCTCATCTCGCCTTACATCGTTGGAGCAGCAGGGCGCCACGTCGACCTCAACTCTGCCACGACTCGGTGGCGACGGAATGTTCTGGCGACCACCACCACCACCACCGCCACCACCTCCGCCGCCTCCGCCGCCGCCGCCGCCGCAGCATCGCACGTCCTTGTCCTCGGACACCAATGCAGGCACGGGTGTTCCTCGCTTTTATAAGCTGGAATTTCCTAAATATGATAGCAAGGAAGATCCCCTCAATTGGTTCAACCATTGTGAACAATTTTTTCGGGGACAGAAGACGCTAGATGGTGATCGCGTATGGTTGGCCACCTACCATCTAACCGGCGACGCTCAAGAGTGGTATTTTCACTACGAGCAACATCACGGACCTCGATTGGTCCGCTTTCAAGGACCTGTGCCATGCTCAGTTCGGGCCACCAATTCACCGTAATTCTCTGGGTGAGTTGAAGCGGCTGTCCCAGACATCTTCGGTGGCAGCATATCAGACGAAGTTTCTGGCATTGGCTAGCCGGACGACGGAGCCACTCATGGATTCGCAGCAAATACAACTCTTCACAGCTGGCCTACGCGAGGAATTGGCCATCGACGTCGAGTTGCATCAGCCGGATGACCTGCAGGAAGCCATGGGGCTTGCCAGGGCCTACGAACGGAAGGCGTCACGGCTGGCCAGCGGCACGCGTCCGGCACTCCGCGCACCGTTCCGGAGCGGACCGGCTGCTGCCAATCTGCCAACAGCGCCAGCCGCGACCACCGAGGGCTCACAGGAGCAAGCGCCCCGACAATTTCGTCGCCTCTCACCGGCGGAACTCGCGGAACGTCGGTGCCAAGGGCTGTGCTACAACTGTGACGAGAAATTTGTGCGCGGGCACAAATGCGCTCGTCTGTTCTACATCGAATATGACGACAACGTCGAAGGGGACATGGAGCCGGCCCCCGACGAGCCGCGTGTGTCGCTCAACGTTCTCGCCGGGTTGGACGGGGCCAACACGATGCGCCTGCCCGTTGAGATTGCCGGCGAGCGCGTGGTCGCACTCGTGGACTCTGGGTCGACACACAACTTCATCCATACCGAGCTGGCGCGTCACCTGTGCCTCCATCTGTCTCCAGTGCGCCATGATCTCTATGTCGTCGTGGCGAACGGCGATCGTCTGGTCAGTCCAGGCCGGTGCGCCAACCTCCGTCTTCGCATTGAAGGGAAGCTGTTCACAGTCGATTGCTTCGCACTCGACATCTCCACCGTCGACATCATCCTCGGCACCGAGTGGCTCAGCACGTTGGGGCCAATTTTGTGGGACTTCCGGAATATGCGCATGTCAATTTGGCGCAGTACGCGCGAGGTCACCCTTCACGGCCTCGCCAACCGCCGGCCGCCCCATTGTGAGATGCTGGAAACAGAGGACCTCCTACCCCGCCTACTTGACGACTTCGCCGACATCTTCGCGGAGCCGCAGGGACTGCCTCCCGCGCGGCCGATCGATCACCGCATCCACTTGAAGCCGGATGCATCGCCGGTGGCGGTCCGGCCGTACCGCTACCCGCAGCTGCAGAAGGACGAGCTGGAGAAATAGTGCGTGGCAATGTTACGCCAGGGGATCATCCGTCCTAGTACCTCGCCATTCTCCTCGCCGGTACTGTTGGTCCGCAAGCAGGACGCCTCCTAGAGATTTTGCGTCGACTACCGTGCTCTAAACGCCGCCACCGCCAAGGACAAGTTCCCAATACCCATCGTCGACGAACTCCTCGACGAACTCCGTGGTGCTCGATTCTTCACCAAGCTGGACCTTCGCTCGGGCTATCACCAGGTCCGCATGCACGACGCCGACATCCACAAGACGGCGTTCCGCACTCATCAAGGCCACTTCGAATTCTTGGTTATGCCGTTCGGACTCACGAACACGCCGGCGACATTCCAGGCCCTGATGAACTCGGTGCTCGCTCCCTTCTTGCGTCGATTCGTCCTCGTATTTTTTGACGACATTTTGATCTACAGTGCGACATGGGCCGAACATCTGCAACACGTGCAAGCTGTCCTTCGCGCCATCCACAACAACAAGCTGGTGCTCAAACACTCCAAGTGCCGTTTCGGCGAGCGCCAAGTCTAATACTTGGGGCACACCGTCTCCGCCGAAGGAGTAGCCATGGATGAACTCAAGGTCCAGGCCATTGGTGCGTGGCCGACGCCGCGCTCCGTCCGAGCCGTCCGCAGCTTTCTGGGGCACACCGGCTACTACCGCAAGTTCATCAAGAATTACGGCACCATCGCCGCCCCACTGACGGCCCTTCTCAAGCGGGAGGCCTTCCGGTGGTCGCTAGAAGCGGACGCAGCTTTCGCGGCGCTCAAGGCGGCGCTCTCCTCTGCCCCGGTCTTGCAACTTCCAGACTTCGCCAGGACATTCACCGTGGAGTGCGACGCCTCTGGCTCGGGCATCGGTGCAGTGCTCCACCAAGGCGCCGGCGCACTGACCTTCTTCACCCGGCCACTCGCGCCGCGACACGCCAGCCTCACTGCCTACGAACGGGAACTCATTGGGTTGGTTCAAGCCGTGCGCCACTGGCGTGCGTACCTGTAGGGACGACAGTTCGTCGTTCGTACGGATCATTATAGCCTCAAGTACCTCCTCGACCAGCGCCTGTCCACTATTCCTCAGCACCGTTGGGTTAGCAAGTTGATGGGCTTCGACTTCACCGTCGAATTCCGCCCGGGCCGGAACAACGTGGTGGCTGACGCCTTGTCGCGCCGCGACGAGGACATGGCACCCACACTCATGGCACTCACAGGACCGGCGTTCTCTGTGTTCGACGATTTGCGTCGCGAGGTCGCGACCGACTCATCCCTCGTCGCGCTTCGGGACAAAATTGCCGCCGGCGAGCTGGGCGCGCCCTGGGCATTCACGGACGGCCTCCTCACCAAACAGGGCCGCGTGTTCGTTGCCGCGAGATCGCCATCCTTGCCGGCACTGCTGGACGTGGCTCACACAGGGCACGAGGGCGTGGAACGCACTCTGCACCGCCTGTGTGCCGACTTCACCGTGCCCAACACCAAGCAAGTCGTCCAGGACCACGTGCATGCATGCACGATCTGTCAAAGAAATAAGGTCGAACACCTTCATCTGGCCGGTCTGCTTCAACCTCTACCGGTGCCGACGCGGGTGTGGGAAGATATCTCCATGGATTTTGAGGAGGGGCTGCCGCGCGTCAACGGCAAGTCGGTGATCCTCACCGTCGTCGACCGCCAGTCCAAGTACGCGCACTTCCTTCCGTTGGGCCACCCGTATACGGCAACGTCCGTCGCTCACGTCTTCTTCAACGAGGTGGTTCGCCTCCACGGCATACCGCTCTCCATCGTCAGCGACAGAGACCCCGTCTTCACCAGCGCGTTCTGGACGGAACTGTTTCGCCTTGCCGGGGTCAAGCTCACCATGAGCTCGGCGTTTCACCCTCAGAGGGACGGCCAATCGGAGGCGGCCAACCGGGTGATCGGCATGTACCTGCGCTGCCTGACGGGCGATCGCCCTCGCTAATGGCTGCGATGGCTACCGTGGGAGGAATATTGCTTCAACACGGCGTTTCAATCATCCCTCCGCACGACGCCGTTTCAGGTGGTTTATGGCTGGCCGCCGCCCGCCTTGCGCGCTTATGATCGTGGGACAGCACGGGTGCACGCCGTTGAGCAAGCACTCACGGAACGCGACACGTTCCTGAACGAGGTTCGCGAACGATTGCTGCAAGCATAGGACTACGCCAAACTCTTTTATGATGACAAACACCGGGATGTGGCGTATGGTGTTGGTGACTGGGTCTGGGTTCGACTGTTGCAACGCCAAGCAGCATCACTTCCAGGCTTCTCCAAAGGCAAGCTGTCGCCCCGTTACTATGGGCCATACAAGGTGATGGAACGAATTGGAGAAGTAGCGTGCAGGCTGCAATTGCCAGCAGGAACACGCATCCACGATGTGTTCCATGTTGGTGTTCTCAAGAAATTCCATGGAGAGCCGCCGGAGATTGTGCCAGCGTTGCCGGCAATGGCCTATGGGCGCGTCCTGCCTGTTCCTGTGAAGGCAGTCCGTGGCAGAATCGCGCGTGGCGTCTGGGAAGTGCTCATACATTGGGAAGGGAAGGCAGCATCGGAAGCGTCGTGGGAGAATGAGGCGGAGTTCCGGCGACGGTATCCGGCATTTCAGCTCGAGGACGAGCTGTTTCCGAAGGACGGGAGAGATGTCATGGTCGGGATAACGTATCAACGCAGAAGCTGCACAGGGCAGCAGGATGCGGCGTCAGGAGATGCAGCGCAGCGCGCGTAATCCGCCGTGCCGGACGGCAACAGTATTGTGATAGGATAGGTTCTGTTAGCTAGTTTCCTTATCAGTTTGTTAGCTTGTTTTTAGTAATTTAGTTAATTAGTTGTAAGCCTATTTAGAGGCACAATTCGGAGGAGTTAATCAAGCAGATTCAATTTCTAATTCTCTCATCTCCTATTCTCTATTTGCTCATCCCTTGCTGTTCATCACGGGTCGCTGTTCCTCCAAACTCCCTCGTCCACGTCCGCCAATCACACATTCATATCCCATACGTTCTTACGCCGGAGCTCGTGACAAGTAAACTTGTTCAAAACAAGTAAAATAAAAGTTTAGGATGTTTGAAGTTACAAATTTTCTTCACCATAATGCTCATAACCTGAATACTGCGTACATCATATGCTCAATAATTTAGTTTGTAATTTACAATTGGATACCCATCTATCAGTAAGTCATAGAACAATATAGGAGTACACTAAAGACTACTTGAATAGTGTTTGAAACAAATTCAATATACCATGTCCGGTGCCAGATCAATTCTCACCGTTATTATTGACATGTGTAGAAACAAAAAAAAAGTTTATAACAAGCAAAGACATAGATTGTCTAAAAGTTCTCTAATGTTTCCATGCTGCGGTATAGTACGTAGTATATACCACCTAATATCCAGATCCTGTGCTACTAAAAAATTACCGTCAGTCTTAGGTAGCACAAATTTGAACTATCATTCTCTAAGAGCCAACTGCGTATTTCATGATATTTTGCAATTTCTCTAGCATCCCTTCTCTAAGTAAGTCTGCTATGATAAAAAATAGAAAGATGAGGTAATCAACATTGCACAACTTGAGGAGCACCAACCCCCTGCTTCTTAGGCTATTCCACATGGCATTCAGGTAATCAGCATTTGTACCCAATCCTTTTTTTTTTCAAATTTGTATTCTTCATAGTTGCAAAGTAGATGGTCCTGCATGCAACAAAATTATTTGTCAGAATCATTGGTTCAGAAATTTGAAAAACATAATTTTTGTATATGCATGTGCATAAGTTGAACTCTAATAAGCATGGACGAATAATGGTTTATATAATTTTTTTTTAGAAACTGAGATGATACATTTGAGATTCTTTGCGAGCAGAATTCATGCCAAGAAAAAAAATCCCAACTATGCTCACCTAATTTAGTGTGATGATAAATCATAAATTGATGGATCAACCATAACTTTCTGTTAATAATATTCAAGATTTCATCATCAAATGGTTCTCATTATTCACATTATCGACTGAGATGAAATGCAGTAATATCTGACAAAACTGGAAAAAGAATACATGATTAACACAAATTTGGTCACATTTTGCACATTAACTTAACTTACCTTGTGAGTACCTCTATAAATGATGAAACATCAAAAGACTTGGCCATTTGCTTTGTTGTTACCATCATCCATCCTAAGCCATTGATTTTAGTACCATCGATGGGGTGAAATTGTTTAGCAATCACATATGCTTCTCTCTTTCCTATGTTTCCTGAAACAAGCACCAGCTTGATTGGTGAGCAGGAAGCATGCCTGAGAACAAATAAAATTTTTTACACTACTGTAGCTTAAACAAAATGATAGGGGAAATGTGCAACTCAGTGACTACAAAATCTCACACATTCAGGGAAAATAGTAAGAAAGTACATGTTGCAGAGTCATAATCACATTGGAAATTAATATGTTGATGGCGTAGTCCCTGCTTGACACCATTGGTCATGCCAAAAACCCTGAAAATGTAGAAGCAAATGGTATGAAAGGAAAATATATTCCTAACAGGTAGTAAAAGAGCTGTGCACAAAGAGCAACAGCTTGAATCTTTCTAAAGTGCATCATCTAGCATAACCATGCATTGATCGATGGCATAAGTCAAAATATTCATTTCACAAACAGAAACATATATCAGTTTCTCTTCTTCCACGTCTCCATCCAAAGCATCATCTGTAGCATCCCCATGACATCACTCATCATCTCCATCTCTAAATTTTGGTGCTCAAAGTCCATCATAATCGAATTAATGCATAGCTTGTGTTGAAATTAAATAAGTCAGGGATTTCAGCCCATTGCATCGCATATCTAGCAGCTACAGCATCTTAAGTAAAAGATTGATCCCAACCTGACCATGTTGCTACTACTGCTTAGTACAACTTAATGAAGTCAAAATCATGTACTGACGGCAAAAAACTTAGACTTTCACGTTTTTCCTTATAATGCACAGTAGATTCATAGACCATGTAAAACACATCGCTTGGTCAGCATGGAAGACACTGCTAGTTGACGAGGCATGCACACATTGTATAAATAGCAATAATTAGCATTTAGCAAGAAAGCGGCAGAACAAATGCACAGTTATCTCAACACTCTTAGAAAAGCTCCTTGAAGCTGAGATTTAAGTTGGTAGATCTTTGTGGTATGATGTTGTGTACAAATAAGATCTTTGGCTATCATTTTCACAGCTACCTGAGTGCGTCATGAGAAAAACCGGCATATCGTTGTTGAAATTGCATGGAACACAAGAAACTACAAATAATGGGCTCTAATTTGTCTCCACGGTTTTGGATGATGTCAACAACCAACTTGTGGGATGCTCCCTGAGAGATGAAAAGAAGTGAATTAGCATTAGCTGGACAAAAACAAGTAAATTAGCATTACCTCAAACCATAAGCTTGTAACCAAAATCTCTATCGCATTTGCTTCTTAATATTCCAGCGCACTTAAATTAGAGATGTCAAAACGCAGTCCTTCCCCTAATACATTTTGCAGCCAGTAAATACCCACAATATCCGTACAATGAATCATACAATGGTCATATATGCTTTAAATAAAAAAATGACAGCCTGCCAACAGCAAACGGGTTTGTCATGCATACGCATTACAATGATTGTGTCAAAAGTTCTATTATAGTACTACAAAAGTAGATCAGTTGCCTTATCACTGCAAAATAAAACCAATGTTCTACTGATCTGTATGAGCACTATATAAACTTGTATTAGCAAGTCAGGCGAAAGTTGGTGACTAATTACCTATCATTATAAAGACTTGCGGTGTAGATATGCAATTATTCTTGTATATTGTCCAGTCCATTGAAGTAAACCCATGTGGAATGGAGGACGAAGACACCGACAGGGCAAGATATTGCTAGACGCGAGTGATTCCCCTATGCAATCAGCTCACTATCAATAAGTTCAAATCAGCATCTTTAAAAAAGCAAAATTCTGTTAATTTTCAACAGAATAAGATATTCTCTGTAGTGGTGATGATCAATAATTAACTTTCATCAAGCTGTACAATGGATCGAGAATGAAAAGAGGAGAAATTTTCATATAGGGGATTAATGAGCTTAAAAGGGGAATCACAGAGTAATTTTCAGATGAATCAATCTAACCTGCACAAGAGAGGACCAGCGTCCAGGGAGGACCGGCGCCCTGGAAGCATCGGAGCTGCTTGATATGGGCAGACTCTACCCCTTAACTGTCGCGGCCACAAGAGGCGTGGCAGGGAGCCAGTGGAAGGCAGGATCACAAGGACGTGACGGGGCGACTGCGCCGGTGGAAAGGAAGCTCCACCAGGACGTTGATTGATGCGGAAGAACTTATGGCAGCGCGAGCGAACAAGAAGGCCCCCGGGGGCGGGAGGATGGGGAGGGGGGGCAGCGATGGGAGGAGGCGGACGGCGATGCAGAAGGGACCGAAGTCGGCTCCGGTGGCGGATCCGAGTGGGAGAAGCACGATCTGGCCGCGTCTCCGGCGAGGACGCGGCGTAGCGCCGGCAGCGGGGCGTGGCGGTGGGGAAGAAGGAGGACGGCCGCGGCGTAGCGGTGGCAGCGGGGAGTAGGAGGAGCGAGCGAGGAGGACGGCCACGGTGGCTCCGGCGAGGACGCGGAGGAGCGGCGGCAGCGGGGAGTCGCTCCTGCGAGGACGCGGGGAGGAGTGAACGAGGAAGAGAAGCGCGCGGTCTCCGCGGCCGCGGGTGGAGGAGGAGCGATGTCTTCGCGCGTGGAATCCTCAGCTGTGAAATCTTGGGGTGGAGAAAACTTGCGTGCGGATGGACGGTCCAGATTAGTTCGGATAATTTGGCCTGTAGCATTGGAGAGGACAACTCCTTTATGTAAGTAAATACCATCTCTTTAAACAGGTAATAGTTATTTTTATTTTAATTCTCTCGTACAGTGTGTTCTGTTTAAATTTTGTAAATCAACAGTGTAAATTTTCAAATTACAATGGAAGTTTTGTAATTTACATTGTGCAAAAGTCTAATCTAAGTGTTTTATAAAAATATGGCGCTAATCTAACTGTTTTATAAAAATATGACGATATAAATATAGCTTATGACTAATCTAAAACAACCAAAGTACCTCGGAATAATCTAGCACACGAATGATGAGGAAAAAAAATAAGGATAATGGCATGATAAATTGGGAAAAGATATATCCAGAATCATGAAATGCCAAGTACTTTTTGGAAATAGGTTCAAGCGTATAAGTTACTCGAAAACTGAAGGAGCAATAATCATTCTACCGTTCCATTCTTTTATCTTTGGTTAGGATGTAGAATTTTTATGTTATACCCTCATAGAAGTTTAAAACCATTTCATTATTAAAAAAAAGTTTTAAATTTAATTTTGTTTCTCAAAGTCTACAGGAGAAGTGTGTACATGCATGCATCAACCAATCGATGTTAAGAGGTTTGGTGGTAAGTTCGGTGACAATTGGATGCCCCATTGATAAACATTGCGATCATTTGTGTTCTTCAGGATTAATGATTAATTTCACAAGGTGCAATGCCCATCTGAAAAGCCGTGGTACGTGCAATCTAATCTACCTATGAGCTGCTTCCTTTTAGAAAGCGAATGATTGGATTCAGCATCATTACACCAAGGATTTTTCAAACAGGAGGGTAGCTTAGCTAAAAGAGCAGATAATTAACGAGATAGCACATGATTCTGTCAAAAAGGGAAAAGGGAGTCCTACCACACTCTTTGCTCAAAAGGTAGACGTGACAAGTGACATACGTCGTCCTTTAAAGACCAAAAGGTGTTGGTCTGCCTGCTGAATGGATAAGAATCTCTACAAGTATTTCCACAGAGCTAATTACCGAGGGATTGAGATCCGAGAGCGTCTCCGACGTTTAGGCGATAGCAGTGCAGATGTATCGCAATTTTTTCTTTTTTTTGAGGGAACAAATGTACAGCATTTTTTGGGATCCCCCTACAAATCAGGTGCCCGATGGTAGGTGGGAAAAAATCGGACGCTAACGTCAGCATGACGTCGCGCCCGATTTACGTACAAAACTATTTTAAACTGATTTTTCTCTTAAATTACTTATTCAAATCATGATCCGATTGCACCATTAAATTCATTATAATTAAATTTTCAAAACAAGACCGCACATGGATGTATTCCGACGAAAAAAAATTAGCTTATTATTGAATTATTTTTAAATTTTGCACGATGTTCCACCAGGTATATTAGAATTGTTTCACTAGGTTGATCAAAAATGTTTCACTTGTTTAAATTGGGTGTTGTTTCATCTTATATAAAAACAATGGTTCAGTAAATAGCAAAAAATTATTTCAGTTCATTGCAATATTTAATCCATACATAGTGAAACATTATAAGTACACTAGGTGAAACATTTTTTGGTGGCACAAAAAATAAAACGAATTCCCTTAATAGGGGTTTCCAAAATATGTGGGTTTTTTGTTGCACTAGAATATTTCGTTTACTGCAACACTAGATCTATACATAGTAAAACATTGTGAGTATACTAGAACAAAAAATAAACCAAATTTCCTTAATAGAGAATTTCCAAAATATGTGGGATTTTTGTTGCAAATGAGTATTTTAATTCACTGTAACATTAGATCTATAAATAGCGAAACATTATAGATAGATTAGGTGAAACATCTTTTGTGAAAAAAAGGGAGAGAGAAATGGGTGGGTCCACGTGGAAGGAGGGGCGTGCGGGGGGAGCGCCCGATCTGGCTCCCCCCGCGCCGGTTGCACGACCGAGAGCATTTTTGCATTTTTTGAGTCTTAGGTTACGCTAGAGTAGACCCAAGCCCCTGAAACTGTGCATGCTTGACAGTGCAGGTTACTTCTGGTATATCCCACCTCTTTTACTTTCAATCTCTCTCCTGTCTCTCCCCCTCTCTCTCTCTCTCATGTCTGCGACTCTATATCTTTCCTCACCGGCCGAGCGAGCCAAGGCGTCGTGTGGAGAAATCGAGGGGGTGACGGTGCCAGCTTTGGCCTAGGGCAAAAGTGTCCCAAGCGACGACAGCGATGGTGATGAGTGGCGTGGTGGCGAGGCATCCCAAGCGGCGACGGCAACGACGCCAGGCGGAGCAGCGGCGGGGTGGCGAAAGCGGAGTATCAGGCGACGGCGGCGGGGTGGCCAGATCTAGCCTGCTGCTCGCTAGCGCACCACCCCTCCTCTCCTCCCCTGATCGGCAACCCTTCGTCCTTGGCGAGCACGCCGACAATCTCGACACCACCTCCTCCGTACCAACCACTATCGTCGAGATCCTGTCCTCGCCGCTGGATGGGACGGCGAGCTTGGGGCGGATCTGGTGGCGTCGGCGCCCCTACTCCTCTCCCCTCTTTGGCAAGCTTCTACGGTGTGGATCGAAGCTGGCAGGAGCTTGACGGTGTGGATTAGGAGGTATGGGACGGCGAGGGCACTATCGTTAGGGTCTGGCTTGCCGCCGCTTCACCACCTCCGCACCCCTCTCTAGCAAGCTTCTCCTCTCGATCTGATGCTGATGGCGGCAAGCTCCAGTCGGACACCATTCTCCCCCTTCTCTTTCTCCTACTTTCCTCCCCTTTTCTGATAAACTGCTGCAAGGCCACCATGATCAACTTTGGTCACGTGAACCCGGTGAAGGCATGGCCCCTAGGCCCCCAGTCCACTCTCTCCCCTCTACGCAAGCGATTTCTCTATGTGGACCAACAATGTCACACGTCATGTATGTGCATTGTGGATGGCCTTTTAGTCATGTGGTCACATACATATGTTGGCCCTATGTTACGAAAAAGTTTATGTAAGAGTATTTGCTTCACTGTTTCCATCTCGGAGATTCTACTCTAGTACGAGATGTCCTGGTATTTTTTTTCTAACATACTCCCTCCATCTACTTTTGATAGTCATATTTCCAAATCTAAAAAATTTATTTATGATAGGCATATTTCAATCCAACAACTTATCATCTTAATGACTTTCTTGGATTTAATGCGTGACTCTCCATTCTTCCACACAAGATTGGCTACATGGACATCGAGAAATGTAAATATTAATGAATCGCTTGTTTACGAGGAATGACTAGTAGCATGTTTAAATGGATGATAAGTAGAATCACTTATCATTGATCTGTGTGCCAAGATAAAATATGACTATCAAAAGTAGATGGAGGGAGTAGTATGGATGGAGATACTCAGGTATACGTGCAACGTTCATCATCTTGTAAACACACACAGTTACACTAAGTACTTTTGAAGACTGTGCCAACATATCTTAGGATTGATGAAGTCATCATCGATGCCTTTGTCGATGGATACATCATCTTCTATTGAAACATTTTAGCGCGCTTATAAGTTAAACACATGCCTAATACAACAAAATGAAACAATTTACGGTAGGATTTTTGCACTTTTACTCTCAATTCTAGTGATAAGGGAGATGTTAAAATAGACACTTCAATCTTGGATTGCCCGTTACCTAAGTGGAAAGAGGACAAAAATCAGTTAGCGGAGTCAATATTGATCAAATTATAGGTAAATACCTTTTTAGTAGACAAACATATAAATGATTTTGTAGGATCGAAACACAATAATTAAGCCAACCAAAGGAGGGGTGAATAGTTGGTATACCCAAAAACCAAAATTTTTAGCGGAAATAAAAGTTACCCTCAAATTCGATGGATCGCGGTCTGACCGAAGTGTACAAGCCGGTTTGACCACCTGAAGATCGTCGGTCTGACCGAGATTAAACTTCGGTTGAACCGTCGAGATTGCCTGCTG